AATAACACAAAAGTGCGAATTCGCATATCAAAGAAACCAAAATCACCGCAATCACTATCCAAACGCACAACAGGTCAGCTGCATCGTCTATTTCTGTACTGTCGAATTGCCAAGACTTTACGCAGTTGAGCTGCTCGGTGTTTTCCCTGGTGGAAGCCGAGATACATCACATATACAAACAGAGAGAAGCTTGAAATCGAAGAAGCTTTGCTCGTTTTCAGCCGTATCGGACTGTATCAGAAACAAATCGCTTACGTATCGGATTCAGGCCGATACGTATCAGGAATCGGCCGTTACGGACGTGAAATTCATTCTCGCCGATATACTGGTGAGTATCCGACTTGGCACTCTCATTTTTCGGTACGAACCGGCCGGTACGACACGTACCGACCGATATTTAGAACCTTGCTAGCAACAGGAGGAGGCAGCAACCACGATGAGTTGGTGCCGGTGCTGGCCAACAGTGACAGTGGCGTGGGCCTTTGGCAGCGTGGCTTGAAATCGCAATGGAGGTCTGTGCAAACGGCAGCAGCTCTGGCCTTGTGAGCAACCAGCGTTGGCTTAGTGGCTATAGAGCTCTGTTGAAAAGGAAGAAAGGCAACCTGGGGTGGGCTCTCATTTTAGTGAGAGAGTGTGTGCGCCGTAGGGTTTCAAGAAAGAAAAAGATGCATTGATTAGGTCTTCATCATTTTCCTTAAATAGAAAAAAGGAAGCCTTATCCTTTGAGTATTCCATTAGCATATTCTAAATATGTGTATGTATGTAATTGGTCCGCTATGTTTGCCAAAAAAAAAAGAGACACGTGTGTGCCTTGTTTGTTAAGAATAAAAAAAAATGAATATGTATATATTTTCAAATGTTATAAAAATATATTTCAGTGGTTTGAAAAAAAAAAGTACAAAAAAATAAAATTTTTGCTTGTCAATTTTTTTTCTGTAAATTGAAGTGTGTTATCAACTTTATCCATAGGCTCTGTCGTGACAACATGTTTTTTTTTTTGGAACGTGATGCGAAGCAGGGTCGAAGAAATGACAGTATGCATGTCTGAGAAATTTAAAATTTCTCATACACGCAAGGGGCAAATGTAAGAGGAGTTAAGTTTAAGCCCACTAAATTAATCAGGCCCAATAATCCAAGGTTGATGGGCCCAAATTTATCGCAAATCCAAGACTGGCGGGCCCAGATTTATCGCCATCAAACGGGCTGAATGGCTCTAAGCCTTGAAAGGGTTCGGATCCACGAACCTAGAGACTTACTCGGGCCTGGACTCGAAAGGGTATTAAGCAAGCCTAGAGATCCGAGGCACTCGGACTCGAAAGGGTTTAGATCCACGAACCTAGAGGTCCGAAACACTTGGCTTCGAATGGATTCAAACGCAATCTAGAAGTCGCTCCGTTAATGAGTCCTAGAACACTTGCGGGCTCGGAGCTTTCCGGGGTCTACGCATCAGAACCATCGGCGTAATGGAATTTGAACAAAGGACCCGATCCCGAGGACGGTGAGTGGAGATAAATTCACTCTTCGGTTAAACTAGCGTATACCCGGGTCGAGGTGGCACGACCCCGGGGGGTCCATGAGACTCGGCAATATTTTGCGGCAGGACGTCCTCTGGGACTACCCCTAACCCTTTGGGATGATTGGGGATCATTGGTTAGGTGTGGCTAAGAAGAAGGGTTGGCCGAGAGGTTGATCTCCTCTTCGGGGTTTTCTTTATTCTCGGAGAGGTCACCTCCTCGGACAAGGTGGTTAGAGAGAATATTCCCCATGTGCCTTGCACATGGGGTCCATCCTACATCATGAGGTGCCTATAAATAGCACCCACCCATAACTTTACAATGGATGAATTTTTGGGAGAGATGACTCTTGGGAAAGAACTAATTTCCCATCTCCATTATCAACTTTGAGAGTGAAAGTGGGAGATCCATGGGAGAGCCTTGCCATTATTCTCTCTCTAGCCATTTTGCCTTCTTCTTCACCCAATCTCTTATCTCCATCATCTCCTTTACTCTTGTGTTATTGAGTTGAGACCATTGAAGAATCTAAGCCTCTCACATTTCTTTTAGAGAATTCGAAGTTGTTCTTCAAGGATCTTCGAAGATCTTCGAATTTTTCAACTCCTTTCTTGAACCCTCTCCTACAGACGAAGAGAGAAGTTTGATAAGAATCCCTTTAAGAACTTCCTTTGTATTGCATTGTTCAGATATATAGGCCCAGGCAACACATTTAAACGACGGCTAATTTCAATGTGTTTGTAAACCGTCTTGGCAAGGGTGGCCTTGCCATGACCACCCATCCTACAAATTGAAACAACTCTATAATTTGTATTCTCCTTCACCAAAAGATCCACTACTGCTTTTACATCTTCTTCTGTGCCGACAACATCCTCCTCAACAATATGGGTATAGGATCGCCTTAATTGTCGCTGCCTCTCAGCCATAGAAGTTGATGATGAACTTTCTCTAACTCCTGTAGAATTTAGTATTCCACAAGTTTGAAAACCTGTTGTGAGGCTATTGGTGATCCTGGTATTAATAGCCTCAATCTCCAACCTAACCTCACGAAGGGCTAAACATTCCTTGAAGATACACAATTTGTTGGAAAATTTATAAAGAGGTAGTTGTGAATTGAAATAGACTCCATTTTGAATGAAAGGGTGTAACCTTTCATGGTGTCTTTTTGTTTTAAAGGAAGGGTCAAACCTCCATTTGAATGAAAGGGTGCAAACCTTTCATGGTTTCACTTTATTTTAAAGGAAGGGGTATGTCCCTTCTTCATACCTTTTCTATTCAAATTGAATAGGTGCCAACAAAGCCTATATAAAGGCAGCCCCATTCCAATTTTGATTGATTCCGAAAATTCATTTTCCTTGCCTTCATTTTGCTTTCTTGCGTCCTTTATTCTTCATATTATTTTAGGGTAATTTTCAAAGAGTTAGAACATAGGTTTGGTTCGCCGAATAAATTGTTTGGAGTGCTACTACAATTTGTGAAGATTATTGTATCCTGAGAGATAGACGCCACTCAACTGTAAGCACCGTAGCGGGGCGAATCTGTTTTAAGGATAGAGTGTCACACACTCGACTTGGTCTTTTATTTTTAATTCGGTTCGATAAATAAATTCGGTAAGTTATTTTTTTTATTTTATTTGACTTTGTTTTAATTTATTTTATTTACACAGAAGATTGTTCCAACACAAATACCTCTTGAGAACGAAAGGGAACTGATCTGATCTCCTAATTTTGACAACAAAAGTTGCAATTGCAGCTTCAGCATCATAGGATGCTTCTTTGATCTCAGCAACGCAGTTGCGGATTATAATCTCATCTGCTCCTCCTTTTGGTCTTGCATCTGCAGCTTCTAACAAGCATTGCATCCGATTTAGCTGGGCTTGCAATTGCTCAACTTGAAGCCTCACCCCACCCAAGTTTTTCGCTTCCTGGATGAGAAACCCACCCAGACTTTTCACCACAAAGGTTGCAAAAGATAGAGGTACAGATTCCGCCATAGTCACCACAGCCTTCTTTCTTCTCCTGCTTCTTTACACGGTGTACTTGTTATTAGAATTACAGTGGATATGGATGACGAGGTTACAGTCCGCCCACGCGGTGGACAGCCCACGATTTTTGACTGTTTGCATATTGACACATTGGGTGGGAGAGAGGGAAAATAAAAAATTCAAAAAAAATTATAAAATATCAAAATATTATCTGGGTGTTTGGGAAGTGGGTTTTTATGTAGTTTTTTTAGTTATAAGATATTATTGGATAAAAAAAATTTGGTGTTTGGGAAGATAGTTGGGTTTTTTTGTGATTTGATGTGATATTTATCAGAGAAAAAGTGAAATGATTATGGGGTTGAATGTGATATTTTGGTGTTGTTTGGGAAGGAAAAGTCGGGCTAAATTAGCCACGTCATGACAAGGTTGGTTATTTCAGCCACGTCCCGACAAAAATGCATTTCACGGGTATGGGCGAGGCTTGGTCGTGTAAATTTACCCAAATGCCCCGATAGGTTAAACTCTCTTCTATCTGCAGGACAAGCCTCAGATTGAACCCAACACACCCTTTGCAAAGCAGAAGAGAAGAAGAACGGAGCTATCTGACGGCATCTGAGCGACCTTGGCAGAGGAAATCGCCATCGGAGTACGCATCCGCGGCGGCGAACAACAACAAAGCCTCTAAAACTCAAACCGATCTGCAGGTAATGCTCTATGGCCTATCTGATTTCTCTTCTTCTTCTTCCCATCTACATAGTTTAGGTTCATAACAGCATCGGTTCATGGCCGATCTGTTGCTTTACGGTCGTGATTGGGTTGATTACGCTTACATTACACACAGACGAGGCACCGATCTGTCTCTGTGACAAATCTGGGATTCTGGATCTGTTGTTATGTTCAAAATTTGTTCGGTAATCACAAATTTGGGGCAGATTTGTATATATACATACATATATATATATATATATATAAAATATATCTGTTCTTCTTAAAATATTTGTTCTTATTTATGAAAATAAGATCTGTTGATCTTATATATCTGTTCTGAATCACAAATTTGGGGCAGATTTATCACTACAACAAAAAAGGTCTATGGTGACGAAAATGCGTGACGAAAAAATATTTAGTCTCCAAATATGCATGTTTTAGTGATGAAAATAAGATTTCGCCTCCAATTATATTATTTTCAGAGACGAAAACCAAATTTCATCACCAAATGCTTAAAATCAAATAAAACAATAGATGACGAAAATTTTATTCGTCTCTAAATTTTATTTTTCGTCAGAAAACATTTTCCCGCCTTTGGAAAATTTGGTGGAAGACGACAAAAGGTAGAGAACATGTGGTTGTTAGTGTACAAGTCAAAGTGAAGATAACTAATTCCATGGCTTGGTTTGAACTTAGAGTTACTAAAGAACATATCAAGTGTGATGCTGTTACATGATAAGTTAAGTAGTGTGTACAAAGATCTCTCCTAAAAACTTAATGGATGGATAGAAGAAAGAATTAGTAACTCTAAGTTCACCTTCTCTTTAAAACGAAGGCAATAAAAATAAGAAAATAGAAGAAATGAAAGGAAGAACAAATAATATTGTGCCTGATTATCTTCTTTTCCAATTATATCGTTATTAGAGAAATCTGAAGCCACAGTTACACACCATAATCAATATTGCCTCTATAAACAGTCCAATCAACTAAGATTCTTTTTATTTCTTCAAAAATAACTAGTTTCCTAAATGAGCAAATTTTCTTTTATTCCTTTTAATGTACTAATGTTGTAAACTTGTCAGGAACCATTTTTTTTTCTACTCTATCCTTTCCCATAATACTTCCATCTTAATCTATGTTATATACTTGGAGAACTAAGGAAAGATTAGAGATAGACAACGTCATATGATTTTCTTTGTATGATACACATTGTGCATTCCTAAATGGAATAGGTTAATAGTACACATGATGCGTTTTATGACATAAACAAATTAAAAAAAACTTGATCTTTCATTTGCGATCAGACATGGACAAGAGTTGGATTGCATTGGGTAAGACACCTGATGGAAGGATGAGTCAGCCATTTATTGATGGGGTGACATCATTTATCAAATTTGCAATGGCAGTTGTTGACCAGGAAGGTAAAATTCCGTGCCCATGTTTGAACTGTGTGAACTATTATTCCCAAAATCTTCGAAATGTGCAAATTCATTTGCTTCAATATGGGATTATGCAAACGTACACTATTTGGCATGAGCACGGGGAACCACGTGTATCAAATGAGGCTCATCATGAAATGGCAATTGATGAAGATGAGGTTTTAGGTGGTATTGATGCCTTAGTGGAAGATCGAATAAGAGGAGAACCCAACGATGCACCCCAGAATGAGGAAGTACAAACGTTTGATAAACTATTGAATGATGCCAAACGTGAGGTGTACTTAGGTTGCACAAACTACACTCTGTTGAAGTTTGTCATCGAGCTGCTTAATATGAAGGTAACAAACCACTGGAGCAATAAGTCGGTTAACACACTATTGGAGTTTTTAACAAAACTTTTACCAAAAGATAATTTGGTTCCAAAGTCATTTTATGAAGCTAAGAAAATACTTCGAGATTTGGGCTTGTCATATGAGTTAATTGATGCTTGTATAAATGATTGTGTACTCTTTTGGAAGGAAAATGCAAGGTTAGATAAATGTCCAAAATGTAAGGCATCCAGATACAAGATCAATCGTGGCAGGGGTAAGAAGATTCCCCATAAGGTGTTGCGGTACTTCCCATTAACACCAAGGTTGAAAAGATTGTACATGTCAAGAAAGACTGCTGAGGACATGAGATGGCACAAGGAGAAACGTATAGATGACGGAGTATTGAGACATCCCGCCGATAGTGATGAATGGAAGGAATTTGATGTGCAACATCCTCAGTTTGCCCTGGAGCCTCGAAATGTGAGGCTAGGGTTGGCTGTTGATGGGTTCAATCCTTTCGGGAACATGAGCAACTCGTATAGTTTATGGCCTGTAGTACTCATTCCTTATAACTTGCCACCTTGGTTGGTTATGAAAGATCCCTTTCTTATGATGTCACTACTTATTCCTGGAGAATCACAACCAGGGATCGATATTGATGTCTACATGAGACCTCTGGTGGATGAGTTGAATGAGTTGTGGGAAAATGGTGCATTATCTTACGATGCCGTAACTGGTGAGTCTTTCCAGATGCGTGCAGCTTTGATGTGGACTATACACGATTGGCCCGCATTTGGTGACATATCTGGGTGGAGAACAAAGGGTCATTATTCTTGCTACACTTGCAATGATGAACCATATTTTCAATCCTTGAAAGGTAAGACTGCATACACTAACCATCGATGCTACTTGCCTCAAAACCACCCCGAAAGGCGAAAGAGTAAGGCTTACAATGGTAAGCATGAGAAGCAAAAGAGATCTTTAAAGTTACCAGTGGAAAAGATATTAGAGCAATTGGACAGAGTGACAGGTGTCACAGAAAAGACTCCGTCAGGCACCAAATTGGACAAAGGTAAGCATCTTGTATGAGTTACCATACTGGAAGAAACGGAAGCTTCGACACAACATTGATGTTATGCACGTCGAGAAGAATTTTAGTGAAAATACCTTTGGAACTATGTTAGGCATTGATGGAAAGAACAAAGACACCGACAAAGCACGGATGGACTTGGAAGATATGGGTATAAGGAAAGAGTTGTGGTTAACACGTCATCCTGATGGAACTTATGTCAAACCTAGGGCAATCTTTTCATTGACCCCTGAAGAGAGGGAGGGTTTCTTTGAATTCTTGAAATCAGTGAAGTATCCGGATGGCTATGCTGCAAACATATCAAGATCAGTGAATGCGAGAAATGGTAAATTAACAGGCTTGAAAAGTCATGACTGCCATGTACTCATACAACGGATTCTTCTGTTCTTGGGTTTGGTCTGAAGTTTCATGATAATGGTAAGCAACTAGCTAAGTAACTAATATAGGGTATTGAGACAGAACTTTAGATTTGATAGAGTTGCGGAAGAAAGAAAGGGTTATGAGTTTGGTATCAGTAATTGTTTCGTATTTTGTGAAATGTAAATGGATTTTTTCACAATCTATCTTGCCCATGCTTATATGCCCCCTATTTGTGAACGGTGTAAATTACTCGTTTTTCTTTTTTCACCCAGAAAAACCGTCTTATGATGAAATCTCAACAAGTCCTCTAATCTATTTTTCACAGAATTGAATGAAACTAGTGAATAATTTGAAATATCTTTTAAGTTGAAATGATATATAGGAAAATGATAGAGAGGAACAATGCAATTTCTTTATTATCAACCATTAAATTTGTTTTACTAGTGATACATTTCATTGTTATATTGGTCATTCTTCCTTATAGGAACAATCAAAAGCCAACATATTTGTCTTACTAATGATACATTTCATTGTTATATTGGTCATTCTTCCTTATAGGAACAATCAAAAGCCAACATATTTGTCTTACTAATGATACATTTCATTGTTATATTGGTCATTCTTCCTTATAGGAACAATCAAAAGCCAACATATTTGTCTTACTAATGATACATTTCATTGTTATATTGGTCATTCTTCCTTATAGGAACAATCAAAAGCCAACATATTTGTCTTACTAATGATACATTTCATTGTTATATTGGTCATTCTTCCTTATAGGAACAATCAAAAGCCAACATATTTGTCTTACTAATGATACATTTCATTGTTATATTGGTCATTCTTCCTTATAGGAACAATCAAAAGCCAACATATTTGTCTTACTAATGATACATTTCATTGTTATATTGGTCATTCTTCCTTATAGGAACAATCAAAAGCCAACATATTTGTCTTACTAATGATACATTTCATTGTTATATTGGTCATTCTTCCTTATAGGAACAATCAAAAGCCAACATATTTGTCTTACTAATGATACATTTCATTGTTATATTGGTCATTCTTCCTTATAGGAACAATCAAAAGCCAACATATTTGTCTTACTAATGATACATTTCATTGTTATATTGGTCATTCTTCCTTATAGGAACAATCAAAAGCCAACATATTTGTCTTACTGATGATACATTTCATTGTTATATTGGTCATTCTTCCTTATAGGAACAATCAAAAGCCAACATATTTGTCTTACTAATGATACATTTCATTGTTATATTGGTTCATTATTCCTTATAGGAACAATCAAAAGCCAACATATTTGTCTTACTAATGATACATTTCATTGTTATATTGGTCATTCTTCCTTATAGGAACAATCAAAGGCCAACATCGCGAACAGAGAAAGGATGTATACAAAACATAAGTGTGGTTCTAGGTCAATCCCTGTTAGAGTAGAAAAACTGGTGCGTATCTTTGCACTTTCAGAATTATATTAGATTCTTAGCTTTATTTATTGAATATTTGGTCTATCGAATTAGGCACGAGAAAAGAAGATGCTACCTGATCTAGCAGAGTTGTACAAGGAAACTCACTATAATGAGAAAACACATAAGTGGATCTTATCTCAAGCTCAGTGTAATTATGTGAGTATACATTGCAATTTTTATTAACAAAATTTTAGAATACTATTTGTTATAATCTTATTTAATTTTCCAATAATTATTTAATTTTTTTTATATTTGATAGGAAAATATGATACAAACACAGGCTGATCACCTCTCACAGCTAGGATCAACCCCTTTGATTGCAGAAGAGCTATCAATCAAAGTCCTAAAGCCAAGGTCTGGCTATGTGAAGGGACTTGGCATGAGACCTTCATCCTCTATTAGGACAGCCACTACCATATATGCTGAAACAAATGATTATGTGAAGCGCCTTGAGATGCAAATAGAGACACAAAAGGAACAAATACAAATGCAGAACAATAAAATAGAAGATCTTGAAGAGGGTAAGAAGAAGCAAGGGGAGATAATGGCTGATGTTGTCAACTTTTTGAGGACCAAAGGATTCACTGGACACTTTGGAAGTGGAGGGGACTCATCCACAAGTGGACATACTTCTTGGTAAAGTATATTAACTTTAATATAACAAATTTTATAAAAGAATACATGTTTGAAGAATTAGGAAGTAATGGAAACATGCATATGACATCCAATTTGTACAGGTGCACATGATGTATAAATTGTGAATTAGTCTAAAAAATATATTTTTTTCTCTATACTTAAAGCTTGAAAAAGGGCTGTCGAAATGCTAAATTATCACACAATTATAGATTTGTACAAGAACCAATAGAAACACCTTAGGAGGGACCAATATAAGTTGTATGAACTTACAGCACATTAATGGGATGCACCATTTGTGAATTAGCCTTAAAATTAATTTTTTGTTCTCATACTCTAAAAAAAAGTCTGTTACAGGGATAAATTGTATAATTGATCTAATTGTAAATTGATGAGTTACTAATGTTTTTAATCTTTTGTATAATTGATTAATTACTAAAACTTTTAATTTATTTTTTTGCAGATTGGATTGGGGTGGCATTTTTGACGTGCAACAATGATGTAATTTGTTTGAATGTTCATTTTTGTTCGATAAGGATACACATACTTTTTGGAGTTACACTAGTTATTGTTGGATTTTTGGTGGAATTGAACAAGTTATAACTTTTGGATATTTTGTGAATATTTCACTATTTTATTATATCAGGATGAAATTATTTGTAATGATGAATGGATATTTTCATTTTGTTAATTCGTAAATGTGTTGATAACAGGTTAGGTTAAGTTGTGATGGAATTGTTATATTCAACAGGTTTCAACATGAATAGGGTCATATTTGTTGAACTAAAATTTAGATTTTGATAAAATAGGTATATAATGTGGAAAAAAATATTATGAAATTACTGACAAAATTTTCCATCCCTAAAGAAGGTTTTTTTGTCTCTTATTTGGCATAGGTGGATGATTAATTTTGTCATAAATTCTTTATTTCGTCGCTAAATGAATTTGTCATGACAAAAAAATATTGTCACATTTTGTCACTATTACCCTCAATGTGTGACGAATTTTTCTTGACATTATTTCATCATTTTTAATGATGAATTTGTTTTTATCTCTATTGGTAGCTTCTTTGACAAAAAAATTTCGTCTTCGTTTATTTTAAATGTGACAAAATTATTTTGTCTCTATTTCTTATATTTATGACAAAATACTTTTGTCTCTAATTTCTCCTTTAATGAAAAAATATTTTGTCGCTAATTACTTATAAGTATGTTCCCAACAGAGTGTATTGGAGATAAAAAAAATTCGTCACAAATTTATCATTTTTAATGATGAATTTGTTTTTGTCTCTATTGGTAGCTTCTTTGACAAATTTTTTTTGTCTTCGTTTATATTAAACGTGACAAAATTATTTCATCTCTATTTCTTATATTTATGACAAAATACTTTTGTCTCTAATTTCTTCTTTAATGACAAAATATTTTGTCGCTAATTACTTGTAAGTATGTTCCCAGCAGAGTGTATTGGAGACAAACAAATTCGTCACAAATTTATCATTTTTAATGATGAATTTGTTTTTGTCTCTATTGGTAGCTTCTTTGACAAAAAATTTTCGTTTTCGTTTATATTAAACGTGACAAGATTATTTCGTCTCTATTTCTTATATTTATGACGAAATACTTTTGTCTCTAATTTCTTCTTTAATGACAAAATATTTTGTCGCTAATTACTTACAAGTATGTTCCCAACAAAGTGTATTGGAGGCAAAAAAATTCGTCACAAATTTATCATTTTCAATGACGAATTTTTTTTTCGTCTCTAAGACCCTTTAGCGACGACCCTTTGGAGACAAAACGGGTGACGAAAAATGTTCGTCTTAATTAGTTTGGGTGACGAAATATATACATTTTGGGACAAATTTGTTTTGTCTTTAAATCCTAAATTTGTTGTAGTGAACATTGAGCAAAAATTCAGAAGAGACCAAAAGAGAAACTTGTTAACTTTGAAAATCAACTGATTTAATGTCTAAAATCTTGAAACTAAGGTAAAAGAAAAGCATAACATAGTACACAAAAATAAACTTAGGGTTTCAGTTGAGTGCAATAATAAGTAATAACCAAGCCAAGGCAAGTGGGTTGCCTTAGACCAGAAGTAGATTTTGATTTCTTTCACTGACTTTTCTGTAACGCCCTCAAAATAATAACATTAAACCCGTCAAAAGGATATTCATTGACATATGAAATAACTACATTCTTTTATACATCAGAGTCTCATACAAAAGTATTACATGTTAACGACAAAAGCAAAATGCCATACAGGCTTACAGCTTTCCAAGTTAACACTTGGTTACAACAAAAGAGTACTAACTCGTTTACACCTTAAGCCCTTGGCTTGAATTTACATGTAATACTTCAAAAAGAAAACGACAAACGTATGTCCGCCTCTAGCCTCCCAAGCTATGTCCTAGGAAGTTAGATATATTAACAACAAATTACAAAATATATATGAAATGTATATAACAAATTAGATATAATTCCAACTCAATTTGGGAAGGAAGTTAGATATATTAACAACAAATTACAAAATATATATGAAATGTATATAACAAATTAGATATAATTCCAACTCAATTTGGGAAGGAAGTTAGATATATTAACAACAAATTACAAAATATATATGAAATGTATATAACAAATTAGATATAATTCCAACTCAATTTGGGAAGGAAGTTAGATATATTAACAACAAATTACAAAATATATATGAAATGTATATAACAAATTAGATATAATTCCAACTCAATTTGGGAAGGAAGTTAGATATATTAACAACAAATTACAAAATATATATGAAATGTATATAACAAATTAGATATAATTCCAACTCAATTTGGGAAGGAAGTTAGATATATTAACAACAAATTACAAAATATATATGAAATGTATATAACAAATTAGATATAATTCCAACTCAATTTGGGAAGGAAGTTAGATATATTAACAACAAATTACAAAATATATATGAAATGTATATAACAAATTAGATATAATTCCAACTCAATTTGGGAAGGAAGTTAGATATATTAACAACAAATTACAAAATATATATGAAATGTATATAACAAATTAGATATAATTCCAACTCAATTTGGGAAGGAAGTTAGATATATTAACAACAAATTACAAAATATATATGAAATGTATATAACAAATTAGATATAATTCCAACTCAATTTGGGAAGGAAGTTAGATATATTAACAACAAATTACAAAATATATATGAAATGTATATAACAAATTAGATATAATTCCAACTCAATTTGGGAAGGAAGTTAGATATATTAACAACAAATTACAAAATATATATGAAATGTATATAACAAATTAGATATAATTCCAACTCAATTTGGGAAGGAAGTTAGATATATTAACAACAAATTACAAAATATATATGAAATGTATATAACAAATTAGATATAATTCCAACTCAATTTGGGAAGGAAGTTAGATATATTAACAACAAATTACAAAATATATATGAAATGTATATAACAAATTAGATATAATTCCAACTCAATTTGGGAAGGAAGTTAGATATATTAACAACAAATTACAAAATATATATGAAATGTATATAACAAATTAGATATAATTCCAACTCAATTTGGGAAGGAAGTTAGATATATTAACAACAAATTACAAAATATATATGAAATGTATATAACAAATTAGATATAATTCCAACTCAATTTGGGAAGGAAGTTAGATATATTAACAACAAATTACAAAATATATATGAAATGTATATAACAAATTAGATATAATTCCAACTCAATTTGGGAAGGAAGTTAGATATATTAACAACAAATTACAAAATATATATGAAATGTATATAACAAATTAGATATAATTCCAACTCAATTTGGGAAGGAAGTTAGATATATTAACAACAAATTACAAAATATATATGAAATTTATATAACAAATTAGATATAATTCCAACTCAATTTGGGAAGGAAGTTAGATATATTAACAACAAATTACAAAATATATATGAAATTTATATAACAAATTAGATATAATTCCAACTCAATTTGGGAAGGAAGTTAGATATATTAACAACAAATTACAAAATATATATGAAATTTATATAACAAATTAGATATAATTCCAACTCAATTTGGGAAGGAAGTTAGATATATTAACAACAAATTACAAAATATATATGAAATTTATATAACAAATTAGATATAATTCCAACTCAATTTGGGAAGGAAGTTAGATATATTAACAACAAATTACAAAATATATATGAAATTTATATAACAAATTAGATATAATTCCAACTCAATTTGGGAAGGAAGTTAGATATATTAACAACAAATTACAAAATATATATGAAATTTATATAACAAATTAGATATAATTCCAACTCAATTTGGGAAGGAAGTTAGATATATTAACAACAAATTACAAAATATATATGAAATTTATATAACAAATTAGATATAATTCCAACTCAATTTGGGAAGGAAGTTAGATATATTAACAACAAATTACAAAATATATATGAAATTTATATAACAAATTAGATATAATTCCAACTCAATTTGGGAAGGAAGTTAGATATATTAACAACAAATTACAAAATATATATGAAATTTATATAACAAATTAGATATAATTCCAACTCAATTTGGGAAGGAAGTTAGATATATTAACAACAAATTACAAAATATATATGAAATTTATATAACAAATTAGATATAATTCCAACTCAATAATTACATAAAAAAATATATATTAACAACAAATTACAAAATATATATGAAATTTATATAACAAATTAGATATAATTCCAACTCAATTTGGGAAGGAAGTTAGATATATTAACAACAAATTACAAAATTCATAAAACTTATAGTACAAAAAAAAAATAACAAAAATTGTCAACAATTAAGCAATATATTAAAAATATATTACCAAGATATGAAAAAAAATATATGTGAAACGTATATTACAAATTTAGATTTAAAAAGTAAATACTGTTAAAATTTTATTAGACATATATGACAAAATTTAATTATGAAAAACTATATCTGTGGGGATATATTTTCTGAATACCAACACGTGGCATGGTGACGCCGACGTGTCAGCCGAGGTGCCACGTGTCGTGGTAGTTAGGCCGAGATGATCTTGGAGTTGCCGAGGTTATATCCGAAGATATCGGAATCCGAGATAAGCAGATAAGGGACAAGAGTCCTAAGACGAAGAGGGGACTTAACCAAGATAAGGATAAAGCTCTTAGGGAGTTTATCTTTATCTCTTAAAGAGTCCAAAGTAAACACTGAATTGGAGTTCATAGAAGTCATACTTCTAATAGGACTTGGATTGAATATATTACAAAAGAGAGGCACCCCCGTGGGTCTAAGGTATGCAATTTATGCTTTGAGTATTACGTTTAGCACTTGATTATCTTTGAGAGATATACTGACTTGATCGTCGGAGTGCCCCCGGGTGGAAGAACCACCGCCGGAGCCTTTTCTTTCTGTTACAGGTTACTGAAGCCATCTATTCTGCCTGTGCTCTCCAGTTGATCACTAAGCGGGCAGTGTGGTCAGATTTTCAGAACACACAATTTGGCGTCGTCTGTGGGAACGAAGGAAGAATAGATGGCCAGTAACGGACAACAGGAAAAAATTGGGGATGACGCTCCCACTGGGAGTGGCAGACCAATTGACCTTGA